AAAAAACGAATTGCCAGACGGCAGGTGCAGCAACGCAATGGTCCTCTATATATATATATAATTTGATTTTCAAAACTTGTTTTAAGCTTTTTTCCCCATAATCAAATACAAAATTACTAATCTACTATTTTTATTGAAATCAACTATTTTTTTTCCATAATCAACTATTAAAAAACTATAAAACAACTATTAAAAATAGTTGTTTTCAATAGCAAGTTTACCAAAAATAAAACTACTACAAATCAACTATAAAAAATTACAGTCAACTATAAAATTCTCGAAATCAACTATAAAATTGTCGAAAATCAACTAATAAATTATCCAAAACAACTACGTAATCGAAAACAACTATATTTTGATTAAATCAACTACTTAATCCAAAACAACTACGTAATCGAAAACGACTATATTCAAGAAAATTACTATAAAATCGAGCGAATATAACCATAAAAACATCTTCTTCCACAATCCGCGAATGGAGGGCGGCGATTTATGGCAGCAGATGAAGAATGATGCCCCGTATGAAAACACCATATACCCGAATCCACGACGGATGTGACGATTATGATTGTGGCTGAAAGACGAGGCCACGTCGGACACCAATCGGGAACCCACCATGTCTAATTACACCAATTCAAATATCCTCTCACGATTCCAAATTCAAAATCAACAACAGTAAGCTTCAAGAATTAAAAAAAAAAAAAAAAAAAAAAGAAACTAAAAAAAAAAAAAACTCTCTATCGCAACCACTTATTTTTTTAATTCTTGTTGGAAGGATGGTAATTAAAAATCCACTTATCGCAACCACCTATGACTTCTGCCATCATTTTCTCTCCATTCACTGTAATTGACAGGATCCGCCGTTGCTACAACAATGTGCACGTGGATCTAACTCTTCCCCTTCGACGTAACATAGATGTACTTACACTATGTGTCCTTCAACTCCGGCGAGATACGAAATCGGGACCGAGATTTTGAAGAGCAAAAGAATGGTACAGGTTTAATGGAGAGCGGAAGGAAAAATAAGGAGAATGGATTTTTGGACGGCTGATAGGGAGGACGACGTGTTCATAGAATAAGTAGGGTTTACTGTGGATGAAAAATAGTAGGGTAATATAGGCACACCACTTAAAATTTGGATTTATGCTAAACTGAAGTATGAAATTGGGGGGTTTTCACTAATATGCTAAATGAGATTATATCCATCATAATATACTCAAATGTATTGGGGGGTTTTCACTAATTATCCCATTTTTTTAAGGGCAAATGACAAATACGCATATGACAGGGCACTTAATTTAAAAGAGGGACATTCAACTTTTTTGTCTTTTAAATAAATCCAGTTCATTCAAACTTATTTGCAAATAAGGAAAACTCTTTTATATATATCAAAATTACCCCAAATTTATTGAAACCCGATTCAACTCCAATTTCATAATTTACATCCCAATTTAGCTCAATTTCATTAATTAACCAATTTTAACCATAATTTTAATTTTGACCCGCCACCACCGGAGACCGCCGGTCAGCCGCCGTTGACAGCCGATCAGCCGTCGTTGACCGCCGGTCTCTGGAGTTGACTCTTTTTTTTTATATAATAATTTTGTTTTTTCTTAAAAAAATATTTTAATTAATATTACTGTCTTGGCTACTAAATTATTGTCTCCAACAGTTATTTAACTGTCGGAGACAGTAATTTAACTATTAATTGACTTTTTTTTTCTTCAATTTTTTTTAATTAATATTAATGTCTTGGTTGCTAAATTACTGTCTCCAACAGTTATTTAACTGTCGGAGACAGTATTTTAACTGTTAATTGACTTTTTTTCTTAAAAAAAATATTTTTCACTAATATTATTGTCTTGGCTGCTAAAATCACTGTATCCAGCAGTTATTTAACTATTGGAGACAGTAATTTAACTTTCAATTGACTTTGTTTTTTTTTTAATTTGTTTTTCTTAAAAAAAATATTTTAATTAATATTACCGTCTTGGTTGCTAAATTACTGTCTCCAACAGTAATTTAACTGTCTCAGACAGTAATATTAATAATATTACTGTTCGGAAAAATAATATTCATAATATTACTGTCCTAAACAGTAATATTACTGTCTGAGACAGTAATTTAGTAGCCAAGACAGTAATATTAATTAAAATATTTTTTTCTAAGGAAAAAAAATCGAAAAAAAAAAAAAAGTCAACGCCGGAGACCGGCGGTCAACGGTGGTTGACCGGCCGGGAAAATATTCAGAAAAAAAAAAGTCAACGCCGGAAAAAAATAATTTAGAAAAAAAATATTTTTTGAAAAAACTATTATTTTGGGGGTTAATGTGATATATTTGTTTAAATCCGGGGTCAATATGTAATATTAAGGAAGTTAGAGCATAATAGATGGAATTGATAAGAATTATATTATGGAGGGTATTTTAGACTAAAGACATATGGATGGGCTTATTTGAAAGACTGTTTTTTTTTTGTGAACCAATGTGCATTTAAGTCCCATGTGATGGGCATATTTGCCATTCGCCTTTTTTTTTTTTAATAGATTGTTGTGTCAATATTTAAATTGACAATATTCATTACGCATGGCCCATACATTTAAATTGACAATGTTCATTACACATGGCCCAATCACCGACTAATGAAAGTGTCAGTTTTGTGACTGGTCATTTTTTGTCGATCATAACTGAACAGAAGAAGGTCTATTTTATTCCGTAAGAATCACTTACACCATACTATTTTGTATGGTGTAAGTAATGAAATAAGCCAAAATAAGTGAAATCGTAAATCATAAGATTTAACCTAACTGTAACATTTGAATTGATTAAATATTACGATTTTCGATTGATTTCTTACGATTTTTACAAATTAACTTTTATTATTTCTTATGTTAAAATTCAATAAAAAAAATATACTAAACTTTACCTATACATAGTTAATTCGGTTAATACGGTATTGTAAATTGTTGAGTTTAACTGATTCAAATAGTTGAATATTGTTTACGAATTGACATGATTTGAGCTTAATCGATTCAAATCTTTCAATATTGTTTTCGAATTGAAAACAAAGCTTATTCATTCATATCTTACGATTTACGATTCGATTCAAACTTCAAATTCTTTCAAATTTCATTTTTAAATTATACAAGTTGATCCGTAATGCTTTATATTTTTAGACTTTATCATATATAGATTTGTTAACAATGAATTTTTTTATATATTAAAATGTATGGGGATTTTTAATTTATTTAATATTATTTATATAAGTTTTATAATCATTATGCATTATAGATTTATTATATATATGATTAGATAATTTTCAGTGTGGTCTAGTGGTAATTGGTAAGTATTATTGTATGCTTAAAGATGGTCCCACAAAATCAATTTATATATGATGTATTTAGGGTAAAGTACAGTTTACACCCCTGTACTATAAGGGTTGTACCAGTTTACCCCCTGAACTACAAAATGTCTCAAATACCCCCCTCCAATTTATGGTCAACCATTAAATTATGAACATCTTTAATTTAAATGTGCAATTAGTTCTCTGCCCTTGAGGGTTTGTTGTGAGAAACTTAATAATTATATAATTAATATGTGTTGTATTTGTCGATTGGGTATGAATTTGTGATTGAAGTGAACTTATGGTTTACATGATTTTTTTAATTGTGTTTAATTTTTGGATTCAATATGTCTGTTAATTGTCCTTTTGTTCAATTTTTTGCATTTTTTGTTTATGCCCTTACTTAAATGCATAACTTTTGTGATGATTTTCGTGCATTATAAAATGTCTTGTACCACGAAGTATAAGTTTTTTGTGTATTTGAGTTGTTACCTGACGTTTTAATAAGTGGCCTTTTAGTGGTTAAATAAGGAGAAGAAAAGCGAAAATACGAGAAAAGAAACCAAAAAATATGAAGCAAAAAAACTTGACAAAATAAGAATAAAAATCAATGAAAAAACTTTAACACACACACACTAGTAAAAAAATGGAAAAAAACGTAATTATCAGTAAAACATTAAAAATAAATAAATAAAGTTGTTTATGATAATGTAAAAAAATGCTAGAGTGAAAAACAAAAAAATAAAGACGACAAAGTCTATAATAATAAAATAAAATATGTTAGATGAAAAAATAAGATATTAAATGCATAATAAAAAAAAATGCAAATTTCGAATTTGTGAGTGCAAAGGCATTTTCAAAATAAATTTAATAAAAAATGTAAAACAAATATTTAGTTTAATTTTTTATTTAGTTATAATTAGTTTTATCACAACAACCTATATCTCAAGGGCCCTTATTAATTAGCAACTTAACATTTTATAATTAAGATAAGAATAAATAAATAAATTATGAGTTGCAAAAATAACAGGCATGAGTCTCATCCGATATCCTTGCTGCTGCTGCGTAGTCTCTCTCTCCGGTGGCCATGGCCATGTCTAGAATCGTACTCTCCCTCTCTCCCACACCACCACCACCACCCACCACTATTCCAGAATCCCACCCCCACCCCTCCTTCTTCGATTCCTTCTTCACTTTCTCTAGAAGAAGTTTCATCCTCACATCCTCCGTTCTAAGCTTATCTTCCTCTTCTTCTTCACTTGCTCAAACACCACCACCACCAAAATCGCCGCCGCCGCCGTCGTCTAGTTCAGCAAAGTCTTTCCTTTCCGGAATCGGCAGCACCAAGTCGTGGTTCCAGTTCTACGGCAGCGGCTTCGCGATTCGCGTGCCCCCCAATTTTGAAGACATCATGGAACCTGAGGTCTGCATCTGATTACATTTCTTCTTCTCTGTTTTTCCCCCAATTTTTATGTATTCGTCCATTTTTTGAGATCATTTCTTACTATCTCTTAATTCTTCTAATTCCCTGTTTGAAGTTTGTTTGCATTTTTTTTTTTTAATTATTGCTTATTTCAATCGCATATTGGTATGATTAATAGCTTGACGAATACTTAGTACTCGAATAGTGCTTCGTATATTCTCTTTGATTTTAAATCCAAATTGCTAGAACGGAAAATATGTATGTGAACGGTTAATACAAATATAACTTTGAACTCCGAAGTCATTGCCTGTCGATAAACTACACTTGACTTTGCAAATGCGATTGAACTTCAAATCACAAAAATAGGTTACTTATGAAGAAAATGAAAACGACTTGTTGTTTAAGTGTCTCCCGTTCTAATACACGAGATTTTTTAAATGGATGGTCGTTCGATATTGGTATCGTTCTCGACAACTATAAAATCTATGTGTTATTTACCGAATAATAGAAGTCATCTTTGGTCGAATGTAGCTCCAACTAGATTCCTTGATTTCCTATTTTGTTGGAGATATTAATATTAAATGTTACATTTCACTAACAACTTTAGTTTTTGATTGAGATGATCATTCAACATGGTATCAGAGTCAGGCCAAATGAAAGGCCCTGAGTTCGAATCCCACCGCCACCCATTTCAAATATTTAAAGTGCAAGGCTTCAAATGTAATTCGCCTGCACTTGAGGCGGCGTGTTGGAGATATTAATATTAAACAATACATTTCACTAACTAACAATTTAAGCTTTTGGTTGAGGTGGTCATTCAACATGTACTATTCCTATTTTGTTGTGTATATGTCATAGGAAAACGTAACGAAGGCCTATGGTCATATGAAGGAGAGATGCAATAAAACTTCACTTCTCTTGTTTCCGTAATTATTTTCCATCTTCCGTTGTTTGTTTGTCCGTAATTTATGCAGAACCTATTGAAGCATATCTGAAATAATGTGCAGGCATCAATCATTTCTCATTTATAGCTCTTTGAATTGTGACACTTAGGGTTCGCTTACTTATGTAGGACTATAATGCTGGATTATCTCTCTATGGAGATAAAGCTAAGCCAAAGACTTTTGCTGCACGTTTTGCATCTCCCGATGGGTAAGTGCTACTTTTTGCTCTTTACCGTTTATTGAAAAATATGATACTTGAACGATATACTTTAATTAAAGCATGATAGTTTCACTCCGAGTGTATCAATGTGGATGTATGAAAGTTGAAGAGTCAAATTAATCCCAAAATTTGATTTTACGTTTTGCTGTTCTAAGACTTGTTTTTTTGTCTATTTCGGATGTGATGGAAGATATTCTGGTTAGTATTACAACTCTTACAATGCTAATGAACAACATGTTAACTAGGTTATCATATCAATGCCCAACAGCCTCAACATGCTCGATTTTGTTAACAAATGATCGCCACTTGTTTTCGACTAGTTTTTTGACTTGGAAAATATTTTAGTAGTTAAGCAACTAGTACCCATGGGGTTGAATTTGGGTTAGACGTTTGATTGTACTTATTCTTTCCCGTTTCTTGGATTTTTTCTCAATCTTGACAATCTTTATTGTTGGATTTGTTCTGACAGATCTGAAGTTCTAAGTGTTGTCGTTCGGCCGTCCAATCAACTTAAGATCACCTTCTTAGAGGTTTGTGAATGTAATTATTCTTACCTTATATCAGAAATTAACTTTTAACGAAGTAAATTTCATCTCTTATATCAAAGTCTCTTAATAAAATTCTTTAATGATGGGGGTTCTGTAACGTTGAGTCTCTTTATGAATTGTTCTCGACTCGCTCTCCAAAAGCAATCCAATGTTCAGAATAAAATGTATACAGACTTCGAAAAAAGTTACATATTTGAATTTTAAAAAGTGGATGTGTATCTAAAGACGCCATTTCGATATTGTGTTAAATCTACTCTTGTAACTTTTTTCGGTATCGAAATATGAGAATGTTGTTCGACAAGAAATCATAGTCTAACGATTCTGTTTCATTTATGACTTAATTCCGATTTCGACAGGCCAAAGACATTGCTGATTTAGGTTCACTTAAGGAGGCTTCTAGAATATTTGTTCCAGGTATATAAAAATTGCAGTGAAATGTTGTTTCATTCTCAAGAAGATGCTTTCAAGATTTTCTTCAAACGACACTTTTGTGCTTTCAATGCTTTTATATGCAGTCGGGGTTACTTTGTACAGTGCTCGTATAATCAAGATTAAGGAAGAAGACGGTTACAGGTATATAATTATTCTTGAAGTAATTGATTTTTTTCAAGCTGAATGATCCACTAATCTCATTTTACAATCTCTCAAATGTAATTATCGTGATTATTCAAGCGTGTTATAAATAAATATTTATCTTAGCATTCGAAACATTGAAGTTTGGAGTCAATTGCAAGAGGGTTTATGCTAATTAAATGTAATTTTCGCACTCGGAATTTCGTAAAAAAGTAAGATGATCTTTATACATTTCTAGTGTATTTTTCTATTAACAAATATACTTTAATTTCAGGAATTACTACTTCTACGAGTTTGGTGCAGATGAACAGCGTGTCGCACTAGTAGCTGCCGTTAACAGCGGAAAGGTGGGTCGGCCCATTAATTAAACATCATATCTTCGATTTTCTACCGAAATTAAAAAAATTAAAAATAAAAAATAATTTCCATTGATATGCAATTTTTTTTTCTTGTTATATATATGGTTTCAGGTGATCATTGCTGGAGTCACTGCACCCCAGAATAAATGGGACGATCATGGTGTGAGGCTTCGATCCGCTGCAGTCTCGCTCACACTTGTTTAACACGAGGCCTAAAGTTCTGTTCGTTAGATATTGAAATATGTATGTAAATCCCATCTTTGTAACAAAATAGACGATGATCTTTGAACCTGTGACGACAAAAATCAAAGGATCTGATTCTTGGAGTTGCGAGTAAAACGTCTTTACCACCGCACTGAAGGATCATTTTTGCCTGGAGATTAGTGAAAAAGATAATGAAGATTATAAATATATGTTAGGCTTGATGTTTACCAATTGTAAGTCCACTTGTGTTGCTAGTTGATACCTGATTTAAAGAAAAACGGAAACGCCCTTTCGTACTGTCAAATACATACATAGTTGCTAAATCACGAGCAAGGCGATTGATTGCCTTGTCTCTTCACAAACGGAAAAGAACAATATGCAAAAAAACTCGATTAATAGAAACAATCTTCCAGAATGGCTGCGAAAGATTTTAGAGTATGTTCCTGATTGCGCTAAGCATTCATCACCGGTAGGCAGTCACCTTCAACCATGATAGCATTCTACTTCATCGATCGAGCAGCTTGAAGCGCAAGAAGAACCGCTTGAGCTTCGCCATCCGTTGGCCTCACCCGGCTTGGGAGCTCTCGGACCTTCCACTGAATGCAACGTCCATCTAAATCTCGAGCGACCAATGACGTTTCATCAGTGTTTGAACCCGGTGGAAAGGCGGCATCAACGTTAATCTTGACAGTTCCCCAGGGAGGAGGAGACTTCCAAGTCTCGTGAAGCTAATATTGCGAGTCCGAAATTGCGTTTCTTTGAAGGTGGTGAGATACGAATTACACCAACCAACTACCGCCTCAAGTTTAACGTGATCACCATAGTGCACGACCCGGTTTCTCCTGTCCCAAACCTTCCAACAAACGACCGCGGCAAGAATAAAAAACTCTCTTGTGAGAGTTCACTGAAGATTATCGAACCAGCTCGAAAAAGACATCCTGTCATCAAACAATCAAGTAGCAACCGGCAAGTTCTCCCACAACTCTTTCGCACTCATGCAACCATTTAGTTTGTGAGAGGTGGTGGATAGTAATTTGGAAATAGTTTGATTTATTTGGAGAGAAGGGACAATAGGACTTAATTCGAGGAGAAGGTTTTATTAGTTTTTGGTTGAGTTGATTCTAGTTTACAATGCTTCATAGCCTATTTCTAGGCTTCATGGATGAATCTAGAGAATTGCTAGAGTAGTCCTTCTCTAGAATTCTCTTTACAATCCTAGCTATTCTTGCGTATTCTTCTGTGGCTAGAAGTATCTAGCTAGCCTTGATTCCTATAGATTATTCTAGATACTATTTTTGAAGACTAGTTTTTCTTGAATTTTCCAAAATTGAGCATTAATTTCAACACTCCTCATTATTGCTCATTTTGGAAATACCGAGCATCGTACGTAGTTCTTCAAACTTCGGGCGTGGAAGTGCTTTCGTGAAAATATCTACATGTTGTTCGTTTGTCGGGCAGTAGTTCACTTGAATTTCTTTGTTCACTTCTGCTTCTCTTAAGAAATGATACTTGATCGCTATGTGCTTAGTTCGGTTGTGTTGAATCGGTTTCTTCGCCATTGCTATTGCATACTTGTTATCGCAATAGATTGTCGTCGACTTAGTTTTTTCCTCGCCCATATCCGTTAATATTCGTTGTAGCCACATAGCTTGGCTTGCAGTTGTTGCAGCTGCCATATACTCTGCTTTTGCTGATGATTGCGCCACACTTTCTTGTTTCTTTGATGCCCATGAGAATATTCCGGATCCAAGAGAGAATGTGTTACTTGAGGTACTCTTCATGTCATCCAATGATCCGGCCGAGTCATTATCGGTGTAGCCTATTAAACTCGAGCATGTTACGGGCTTGTACCAAATTCCATACTCCTTCGTGCCTTGTAAGTACCCAAGGATCCTCTTTGCTGCTCCATAATGTACTTGACTCGGACTTTGCATGAACCTGGATAGTAAACTTGTAGCGTACATAATGCCTGGCCTGGTAGCAGTTAGATATAGCAGGCTCCCTTATACTTCTGTAGAGTGAATCGTCCGCCTTTGGTGATCGATCTTCCTTTCTTAGTTTTTCATTAGTTACTACATGTGTAGCAACCGAATTGCAATCGTGCATTATGAACTTGTTTAGTAAATTTCGGTGTACTTTCGCTGCAAGACGAAAATACCTTCTTCTTTTGGTTATCTCGATGCCGAGGAAATAGTGAAGTGATCCGAGATCACTTATCTCAAATGTTTTCATCATATCTTCTTTGAATTCTTTAACCATTCTCTCATTGTTTTCCATATCTATCTATCCTACCTTTAAAAGTGTGAATGTTTTTAGTTTCTTAACTTTTTTGTAATACCCATTTTACCCTTGGTATTAGTAAGTTATAGTATGTTCTACTTGTGGTTAATTTTGTCAAATGTTATTGTTGTGTAAATAATGCATTACGTATTTGCTCTCCCATTCATTCTTATTCCGGCCGAGTTGAGATTAATTAAGTAGTAATTAATGGAATTGATAATTTTAATTAATAACTCCAATCAATATACATGCTCCCACCTATTCCTATTCCAATTTATTTACTTCTCTTTGTATCATGAAAGGTGTTGTGCTATTCACCCTTAGACCACTACTATACTCTGAAAAATTCACTTTCGAATGTAAGTTCACATTTCCCCCTAACTTATTTTCCTTATTGAATATATGTGCTTTTCTTCATTATATTTCATTATGTAGATTTAGTTCACCGCACATCTATTTTTTTACATAAGTCCATGAGAAAGTAACAAGTTTTTTCATTGTCTGCATTTTTTAACAGGAAACTACAAATATTGAAGTCCCTTACTATGTGGACTGTTTATATTATTTGAATCTATTCACCTATCTCCTTTCAATTATGAATATACGTCTTTCAATAAAGATGTTTACGGGGATAAGGTGAATGTGTACTTGCTTATTTGTTTATAATACATATAAGGCTGCGGCTATATGCAAGACTAATTCCACTTGTGCAAGACCAAATTAAAATTTTCAATGTATAAATACTATAATACCCTTACTTATTAAAAAAATAGAAAATTCCAAATGTGCAAGACCAAAAATTCAAAAACACAAAAAACCATATACAAGACCACAAAACCACAAGACAAACTCTCATCTTCTCCATCTTCCAAAACCCACAAGACATTTCTCCCTCCTCAACCCAAGAAGCTATCCATTTATCGATTTTTTTAGCTAGAATATCGATTTTCCAAAAAAAATCCCGCACAAACGAATTCCATGTCGAATTTTACAGGTAAAAATCGACATTTAGATGTCGATTTTGAGGTATAAAATTCGACATTTGAATTTGTACTATAAATTCAACATGTCAATGTCGATTTTTACCTATGCAATTCGACGCTTAAGTGTCGATTTGTAGCATAGTTTTTCGACACCTTGGTGTCGATTTTTACCAGTTTCAAATTTAATTTTTTTTTTTTTTTTTGGGCAGATTTAGGTCACCCGTGATTGTGCGTGGCGGGGCTGGAGGCGGCGACGGAGCTTGAGCGGCGGAAAAGGTGGGCGTAGGTAGGGTTTCAGGGGGGGCTGTTTTTTTTTTTAATTCACGCTTCTATGTTTTTTTTTTCCTCATTATTTGTATTTGGTCTTGCATGACAAAAAAAAAACCAATTTAATTTATGGGCATATTTGTCATTCCATCTTAATAAAATAGAATCTTTTGGGATATTTCTTTAATTTGGTCTTGCACAAGTGGAATGAGTATTGCATATAGCCGCAGCCTACATATAATTATTTTGCTTCAGTTTTATGTAAATTTTATTAATTGAACATGAAATTATGAAAAATATAACTCGAAGCCTAGATTAAATATTGAGAGTAGAAGTCTCCATTGAATAGAAGTCTAAATGATCATATTCAAACTTCAAGATTTGAGATTTAAACATATTAAAAATAAATTCTCATATATAAGAAATATGTCTAAAAATAAGAAAAATTAGTTGTGTTGTGTATGAATAAGATTGATTTTAAATATTGAGGTTAAATAAATTCTTAAATTTTATGTACTATCATTATTTATGTATTTTATTAGTATAAGTGATACCATGATTTAACCATAATCAATTATGTAAAAAGAAAAAAAAAAAACATAAAATCATAATAAGAAAATAAATGATAATGTATATTACTTATTTTTTTTATAATATAATTTTAATGTCAAAGACCTGTTAGTATACTATAAAATATGTTAAAAGTTGTACCTTTTTTTTTGTTATCGTAATTATTTTTATACAATAAGTTTCAACAATATTTTTTTTTTCAAAGTTACATTTCAAGAGTTTTTCATTATCATAATATTATAAGTATATATATAAATAGGGAAAATTAGCAATAACCCCCTCATCTAGGAAATGTAGTTAAGGAAACACCCCCTCCAAAAAAAATTAGAATAACCTCTTAGCTAATATTCCACCCAAATGTTATTTTAATAATTCTTAAACTACCCTTATTTGATTATAACTATTTTAACTCTAATTATATATCACCTTTTCCAAACCCGTTTTTTTTCCTCTGCCATTTCTATCGTTTCTCTTCTCAATATTCAAATCTCAGATTTCTCTATCCCCCTTCACCACACCATGACCTAAATTACGAACAACTTCTGGAAATCCACGGCAAAGACTATGGCGACGATGCGGCGAAGGATCTTGCGCTTGCGAAAATACTCCTAGTAGCGTTCCTTTACCCACAGTTTCTCGATTTTGCGAAGATTTCTTATTCGTCGCCGTAGGTTATGGATTTTTAATTTGATTTTGCTGCCTCTTTTTGGATATGACGGTGGTCATGAAGAAAATTGGGTCTGGGTGGTTTTGTTTTGATGGTTTTGATGGTGGTGTTATTGTTTGGGCTTGTGGTACGAGTTGTAATTTACTTTATTCGTCATTAAAAACGGTCAGATAATGGAAGTGTGGTGTGGCGGCGGCGTGGTGACGACGACGAGCAGATCTAGGGTTTTTTGGTAGATTAGGCGGAGCACGCGCGGGTAGAGAAATTTGCGTAGGCTGGACCCTTAATCGACTATGTATTTTTTCGGTAGTGGATTAAGTTAATCGACTATGCTCTGGTAGTCGATTAAAGTGTTAATCGACTGTTTT